GGCCTCCCCGGTCAGACAAGACGGCCCAAGAAGCTCCCAAGACGGCCCAAGCAACTTCCAAGAGGCCTCCAAGAGGGCTCCAAGATGCTGAAGATGGCCTCCAGACGTCCAAGGACGCCCCCAAGACGCCCCAAGAAGCCTCCAACATGCGCCCCAAGAGGGCCCCTAGACGCAACAAATTGGCCCATTCCCTTCGTAAAACGTACATTTTTCACAAAGTTGCCTTTTGGGCTTTCCGACGTTACAGGACGGCCCAAGAGGCGCCCAAGACCGCCCCAAGACGGCCCAAGAAGCTTCCAAGAGGGCCCCAGGACAGCCCAAGAGGGCCCCAAGACGGCCCAAGAGGCGCCCAAGATGGCCCAAGAGGGCCCCAAGACGGGCCCAAGAGGGGGCCCAGAGGGGGACCACGAACCGCAAGCTCGAGCCTTCCGCCCCAAGAGGCCGCCAGGAGGCCCCCAGGAGGCCCCTCAAGAGGCCCCAGGAGACCCCAGACGTCCAAGGACGCCCCCAAGAGGCCCCAAGAAGCCTCCAACATGCGTCCCAAGAGGGCCCCTAGACGCAAAAATTGGCCCATTCCCTTCGTAAAACGTACATTTTCAACAAAGTCGCCTTTTGGGCTTTCCGACGTTACAGGACGGCCCAAGAGGCGCCCAAGACCGCCCCAAGACGGCCCAAGAAGCTTCCAAGAGGGCCCCAGGACAGCCCAAGAGGGCCCCAAGACGGCCCAAGAGGCGCCCAAGATGGCCCAAGAGGGCCCCAAGACGGGCCCAAGAGGGGGCCCAGAGGGGGACCACGAACCGCAAGCTCGAGCCTTCCGCCCCAAGAGGCCGCCAGGAGGCCCCCAGGAGGCCCCTCAAGAGGCCCCAGGAGACCCCAGACGTCCAAGGACGCCCCCAAGACGCCCCAAGAAGCCTCCAACATGCGTCCCAAGAGGGCCCCTAGACGCAAAAATTGGCCCATTCCCTTCGTAAAACGTACATTTTTCACAAAGTCGCCTTTTGGGCTTTCCGACGTTACAGGACGGCCCAAGAGGCGCCCAAGACCGCCCCAAGACGGCCCAAGAAGCTTCCAAGAGGGCCCCAGGACAGCCCAAGAGGGCCCCAAGACGGCCCAAGAGGTGCCCAAGATGGCCCAAGAGGGCCCCAAGACGGGCCCAAGAGGGGGCCCAGAGGGGGACCACGAACCGCAAGCTCGAGCCTTCCGCCCCAAGAGGCCGCCAGGAGGCCCCAAGGAGGCCCCTCAAGAGGCCCCAGGAGACCCCCAAGAGGCCCAAAGGAGGCCCAAGGACAGCCCAAGAGGGCCCCAAGACGGCCCAAGAGGCGCCCAAGATGGCCCAAGAGGGCCCCAAGACGGGCCCAAGAGGGGGCCCAGAGGGGGACCACGAACCGCAAGCTCGAGCCTTCCGCCCCAAGAAGGAGGCCCCCAGGAGGCCCCTCAAGAGGCCCCAGGAGACCCCAGACGTCCAAGGACGCCCCCACGACGCTTCGCGTCACCAATTTCTTCTCGCAACGATTCCTGGGTCTGTGACTCGACAGAACCTAAGCGCGCGCGACGCGCGCGCGTGGTTCTAGTATATATATATATATATATATAGGTCGAGTGATACAATCAATATCATACCAATTTATATGTGTATATACAGCTGCACATATGTATTTATATATATATAGAGGGACCAGTATACAGAGACATAATTATATATACATATATATATACATTGATTGATCGATTGACATATCGGTAGGTCGACACATACATATTCCCCAATCAGAGCTTGCCTCTGTAGGGGTCCTAGCGGATATAAAGCTGAGGTGAGGTGAGCGGCCGATTTCGGTGGCCGGGGCCGGGTGCCCAGGGGTTCCCGGGGGTTCCCGGGGGTGCCCTGGTGCGCAGGTGTGTGGCCGATTTCGGTGGCCGGGGCCGGGTGCCCGGGGGTGCCCGGGGGTGCCCGGGTGCCCAGGGGTGCCTTGGTGCCCGGGGTGCCCAGAAGTGCCGGGGGTGCCTAGCGCAATAGCCCTATAGCCCTATAGCCCAATAGCCCAATCGCCATATATCCCTATAGCACTATAACCCTATAGACCTATAGCCGTACGTATACGACCACCCTTCGGGTGATAAGGAGGTTCGGGGGGGGGGGAACCAACGTCTCACTCGATCGGTCTCACTATCGATCTCAGTATCGATCGCACTATCGGTCTCGCTCGATCGATCTCGCTCGATCGATCTCACAATCGATCTCACTCGATCTATCTCAGTCGATCGATCTCACACTTGATCTCACAATCGATCTCACAATCGATCACACAATCGATCTCACATTCGGTCTCAATATCGATCTCACTATCGATATCACAATCGCTCTCACAATCAACGTCATCATCATCATCATCAACATCATCAACATCAACATCATCACCAACATCGTCATCATCATGAGGGCACCATCATCATCATCATCATCATAAACATCATCATCAACGTCAGCATCATCATCGGGACAACATCATCATCATCACCATCATCATCTCATCATCATCATCATCATCATCATCATCATCGGGACACAGTCATCGTCATCATCATCAGCAGCATCATCAGAATCATCATCATAATCGGGACACCATCATGATCACCATCGTCCTCATCATCAACATTATCATCAAACATCGTCATCATCCTCGGGGCACCATCATCATCATGATCATCGCATCGTCATCATCATCGACATCACGACCATCAACAACATCATCATCATTGGGGCACCATCATCATCATCATCATGAGCAACATCATCATCAACATCGTCATTATCATTATTATCATCATCGGGCAACCATCAGCATCACCATCATCATCATCATCACCATCATCATCATCAGCATCATCATCGGGACACCATAATCATCATCAACATCATCATCATCAACATCATTATCGCCGGGACACCATTTCCATCAACATCATCATCACCAACATCATCGGAATCAGCATCATCATCATCATCATCTTCATCGGGACACCATCATCGTCATCATCATCAACATAATCATCGTGAGCATCATCATCCTCATCATCGGGACACTATCATCATCATCGACACCATCATCAAAATCATCATCATCTTCATCGGGACACCATCATCATCATCATCATCATCATCATCATCATCATCATCATCATCATCATCATCATCTCATCACCATCATCCTCGCGGGACACCGCGGGACACCGGCGGGACACCGCGGAACACCGCGGAACACCGCGGGACACCGCGGGACACCGGCGGGACACCGCGGGGCCCCGCGCCCCGGATGAGAAACATTTGGTCTGGCCGCGCCTCAGCCACAGGAGGACACCGCGGGACACCGCGGGGCCCCGCGCCCCGGAAGAGAAACATTTGGTCCGGCCGCGCCTCAGCCACAGGAGACTTTTTCTCGCCCGCCCACGCAGCTTCGCCTCGCACGCACGGCACGCACGAACACGAATCCGAAACCGATTTCCCGGTGGGGGGCTCGCCGTTCCACTTCGATCTCACCCCCTCACCTCCGATAGCCCTATAGCCCAATAGCCCAATAGCCCCATAGCCCCATAGCCCCATAGCCCTATAGCCCTATAGCCCTACAGCCCTATAGCCCTATAGCCCTATAGCCCTATAGCCCTATGGTCCTAAAGCCCTATAGCCGTATATAGCCCTATAGCCCTGTAGCCCGAATAGCCTTATAGCCCTTAGCCCTATAGCCCTATAGCCCCATAGCCCTAAAGGCTTCTAGCCCTATATCCCTATGGCCACATCGCCCTGTAGCCCTATAGCCCCATAGCCCTAAAGCCCTAAAGCCCCATAGCCCCCCCAAATTCTGTTTGGGTTTTTCTCTGGTATCATATATATATATAGACGCATATATGTATATGTTTGTCCTAAATCGAGAACTAGATTTATAGGTCGATAGATAGATATAGATGGGAATACGTGCGCGACCACAAATCAATTTGAAGAAACCGCCAAAGAGCCTAGAACCATTGCAAATCGACCGCCTCCCCCTTCCCCCCCCCTCAACCTCCTTGTCACCCGTAGGGTGGTCTTATAGCTGCTTAAAACCAGCACCGCATTGGTTGAAGGACAGAATCCAGACGTTCTGAATTTTTGCGCGCGCACTTCCTCGTCATGCTCATCAGCACCACCGTCATTTATCATCCCCGACTGCTGGACCACATCAATTGCCATCGCCATCATCGTTACCAGCATCAGCTGTAAGCTATCATCATCTCAATTGTCGTGTCCGCAGTCTTTCCCGTAATAACGGCGCTACCATCACCATCATCGTCGTCGTCATCATCGTCGTCGTCGCCGATGCCGTCGTCTCAATGATCACTCGCCCGCCCGAGCCGAGGAGCTGCATTAGCAGGGTCCGCGAGTGATTTGCGAGCAAGTTCCGATGAGTCACGTCACTGACGCCCTGCTGAGATGTTGCCAGCAGCTCGCGGTTGCAAAGATGGGGTGGTTGCTCGAGCATTGACGTTAGTTAGTTCAGTTTCATTCCATGAGCTGCGGCGTAACTACTGCACCCAGCGACATTTACCGCGTAGATGACTCCACCGCTTGCATCACGTTATCCATGCTGGCAGGAGTGTGAATATTCATGCTGTTCAATATCTTTGATTGCTTGCTAGACACTCGCTGGAGGCCTTGCCCATCGTCTCTTGGAGGCCCCTTGGCGCCTCACGGGGCATTGAAAGAAGACCCTCGTGCCTTGGGATGCCTATATGGCCGTCCATGATTTGTTTTTGGGTCGTCCTTTGGCTGCTCTGGAGTCTTCTTGCGGCCAGAAAGTATGCCAGGGAGCCAGTCAGTAGAGGAATTGTGCGACCACGTGCGCCGCGAGGGTGATCGGCCAGCTGCGGGAGCCCCGCAAGATAAAAGACAAGCACCATACCACGCCCCAGCGTGCCGATGGCACGGTGGTGGATCATCGGAAGTTCAGCGTGCACATGCCTTTGCGTTTCGCGACGACAGCCAGAGAGACAGGGACGGCTTCGTTGATACGGTGGCCGCTGTTGGTCTACATGCACGGTGCCGGTGCTTCGTCGTTCTTGAAGCACAGCAAGAAGTCCCTGCAGTCCGCCGGCCTGACCCGCTGCGCGGACGACTTCGTGATTATCTCCCCGCACTGCGACTGGAAGTGGAATGACCAGCCGAAGCCGTGGGTCAACGAGCTTGTGGCCACGCTGCGGGCCGCGGAGTGGATCGACCACCAGCGCATCTATTTAGAAGAACGAAAGGTTGCATCAACATAGGTTTCCAGAGGTCCGCGCGCACGTCTTGGGTCGACGCTGGATCCCCCTCCCCACTCCTCCGCTGAGCGCGTTGGTGGCGGCGCCAGAGGCGCCCCCCGGGGGTGTGGGGCCGACGGCACGCAAGACTGACCCTTTGCCAGAGCGACCTTCGCTGCGCGGCTTGGGGGGGGCGCAAGTCGCGGGGGCCGACTCCAGGCAGGCAGGCCGCTGTTAGCACCGTCGCATCACATGCTCAGGCAATGCTCATGTCACCTCCTCCTCCTCCTCCTCCTCCTCCTCCTCCTCCTCCTCCTCTTCCTCTTTCAGGCGATCGCAGACGTGGATCAAAGGGGCGTGGATTACCGACGGGTCCCGTTCCCATGAGAAATCGCGGAGTTCCGCCGCCGAGCGAGGCGGCACCGGCCGCATTTTGGGGATGGCGCCTCCCCCGATCCATGGATTTGGCGACCGCGCGCCAAATCCATGGATCGCTAATCCATGTTTGCACGCCCCTGACATGCATCGATCGGCAAGCCACGCGCCAAGGGTTACTCTTGCACGGGGTTGCTGTTGCGTTGGCCGGCGAGGGGCCCATCGCCGATCCCGGCCAGTCCGCGCGGAGTTCCGTAAGTTTACGTTTGCCCTCAGATCCGGCGCTGCGAAAAAGTCTAACATCGCGAAACATCACGACCAGAGCCCCAGACCCCACCTTTGTGCTGCACTGTTCGAGCCCGAGGTACCTGTGATGGCCCCGGGAACCGAAACCGAGCGAAACCGCTAGGTGTAAGGTAGTTGCAACGCCCGCATCCCAGGGTGTGTCTCTTTTCGTTCTTCTGCTATCTCACGGGCTGCTCGATGGGAGGCATTTCGGGAACCGAAGTGTACCTTAACCGCCACTCCCTGAATTTGTCCGAGGTGTGTTCTGAGCAGAATTTCGAAGCGAATCGGGCCGTGGCAACGAGGACTTGCCAAGAGGTGCACAAGGCGAAGCAGATGCCCTCCGAAGGTTTGTGCCTGTGCCTGTGTTTTGCTTCTCTTGTATCTCACGAGCTGCTCGATGGAAGGCATGCGGGGTGCTTATATCTTACATCCACGGCGTCTTTGTTTCTTTGGTGAGGGGATGCCAAACATACATCTAATACGCAGTGAATATGGATAAATATCCAGCCTCCCTAGGGGCCAAGTGGTATTTCCCTCATGTTTAGTTGGGCTCTTGTTTTCTTTACACCCGAGTCCCACCCGCGTCACTCACCTCACCACCTCACCCCTCGCCACCCCTCCTCACCAATCCCCCTTCACTCTCGTACACGCATCAGAAACACGCACCCGCTGGCCGCGCGCACGCGTCAGAGGCATAAGCAGCACGGCACAACACACGTCACCCACATGACACACACACACACGTCCACGTATATCCGTGCACACAGCATAAACAGACACAGGAGTGGAGTTGCCTCGACACCCGAAGGGGTGCACAGGGGGTGGCCCCTCACCGCGGTCTCTATGCGTGCCAGGGTCGGAAAACACGTCTCAGGCGTGTCAGTCTCTCCACTCCGCAGGGGGGACGCAGGGGATGGTCCCTCACCGCGGTCTCTGTCCGTCTCAGGGTCGCGGTGCGTGGCAGGCGTGGCGCTTTCTCGACCCCACAGGGGGTGCGCATGGGGTGGTTCCTCACCGAGGTCTCTATGCGTCTAAGGGTCGCGGGGCGTGGTAGGCGTGGCATTCCTCCACGCCGTAGGGAGTGCTTAGTGGGTGGTCCCTCAGCGCGGCCTCTATCCGTCTCAGGGTCGCGGGGCGTGGCAGGCGTGGCGCTTTCTCCACACCCTAAGGGGTGCGCAGGGGGTGGTCCCTCACCGCGGTCTGTACATCCGTCTCAGAGTCGCGGGGCGCGGCAGGCGTGGCATTTTCTCCACGCAACAGGATGGGCGCAAAGGAGTGTCTCTCACCGCGGTCTCTGTCCGCCTCAGGGTCGCGGGGCGTGGCAGGCGTGGCCTTTTCTCGACCCCACAGGGGGTGCGCATGGGGTGGTCCCTCACCGCGGTCTGTATCTGTCTCAGGGTCGCGGGGCGTTGCAGGCGTGGCACATTCTCTTCACGACAGGAGGTGCGCTGGGGGTGGCCCCTCACCGCGGTGCATATCCGTCTCAAGGTCGCGAGGCGGTGCAGACATGGCACTTTTCCAACTCCGCAGGGGGTGCGCACGGGGTGGTTCCCGAGCGCCGATTTGGCCCGTTCCAGCCTCGCGGGGCGTGGCAGGCGTGGCACATTTCCAACCCCGCAGGGGGTGCGCACCGGGTGGTTCCTGAGCGCGGTTTCTTCGTGTCGCAGGGTTGCGGGGCGTGGCAGGCCCGGGATTTTCTCCACACCACAGGGGGCGCGCAGGTGGTGGTCCCCGAGCGCGGTCTTTGTCCGTCCCAGGGTCACGGGTCGTGGCAGGCGTGGCATGTTCTCGACATCAAAGGCGATGCATGAACGTGTGGGTATTGACAAATGTTGGTTTATCCGCTCCATTTCTCCCTCCCGCGCGAGCCTCGCAGAGAATCCAGCTTCGCGTCACGGATGCCCCATCGCTCCGTTGGACACCGCGAGAGTCAGGTGCCGATGTGCCGATGATGTTGTGATGCGTCATCGTGTGTGCGCAACACAGAGACTCTACGTCGAAAGACGCGGCGACGTCGCTTTCCTCGCATCACAGAGACGCGCGCCCACGGCGAATCCGAACAACGCAGGGTACGCTACGAAATGGCCACGCAGGACCTGGAACAAGGACGTAGGGCTCCCTCGGTAGCGCAAGCCACATCCGCTGCGCCTCGGGTTTCTGGGGAAGGTGTCCGAAAACCCTGCGCGCAGTGGACGTGAGCACAGAGTTTGCGCGCAAGGCATGGGCACCTGGGAGCTGGGCGCCGAGCGGCCCGAGCTCTATGCGGCGGTGGCGCCCGTCGCTGCCTACCACAACGGCGAGCGCACCGAGCACATCGCGCGGCGCCTCCGCGGCACGCCAGTCTTCGTGATCCACTCGCTGCACGACGGGGTGTGCCCCCACTCGAAGGAGGCGCCAAAAGGGAAAGCCTTCGGAGGAGAGGGTGGCGGCACTGCTGCCTTCCTCTCGCTGTCGCCGTGTTGGGCCTCTTGGGAGGCCCTCGTCACCGCGGTTGGACTCGCCCTGGAAAGCTGCCCAAAGACACACCCCGACGGACGTGTTTTTTTTATTATTTGGTTTTTGTGTGTGTGTGCGCGATTTTCGACCTCCAGGGGCCCTCGCCAGCCCGTGGGACCGTTAAACAACGACTCAGGGTTAGAAGCCCGTCCCAGGGAAGGGGTCCATTACCAGCCTGGAACATACCCTTTATCCTTCTGATTGGCCCCGGCCTACCTCGATTCCGATCTTGCGGGTTCGCTCCGCTTCCGAGGGCGCATCCTGAATACGTTCATCACCTTCGGGCTTGTCAATCTCAGGGACAGGGAGGTAGGTTCGAGGACGGTTAGTCCAGACCTTCAGGGGTCCACGTTGCGACAAGAGTCACGACGTCGGAGTTCTTGCTAGTGGTGAACATGTTGATGCCGATGCGCCTTCCTCGTTCGTCGGGTTCCTCTTCGGGCCTCCCCTGGGCGGGATCCTCGCAGGCCGCAGCCAGATTCGCCTCGGAACCCTTGTCAGGCCGCGCCTCGGGAGAGGTCCCCGGAGCAGCGGCATCAGTAAGTACCCAGGCTCCCCGGATTGGGTCCGACTACTCCGAATGTCATACTTAAAATGGGGAGGATCTGATTTTTGGGGGGGTCTGAGTTGAGCTGTCCTGGAGGGTTCCGCGGGGCCTGGGCCAAAGGCCGCCCTTTTATGGCTGGCCCTGGGGGGGGGTCTCTAAAACAGCTCGTCTGGGAGGGTTGTGACCCCCTCCCTTTTACTGCGAAAATTGGAGTAGGCGGTGGTAGGGGGATGGGGGGGGGTACGTCATCTGCTTCACGAAGCTGGTTTCCGGCCTGCCGCCGAGCTCCTTCCTCTATGCACGCTGGTGCCTCCCCCGGTGCTGGAAGGGGCGCCAGAGAAATCAGCCACTCGAGCTGACTCGTTGCGCCCCCCTCCACACCCTCTCTTCGTCCGACCCCAAGATGGGCTCGGAGGACTGCGCCGCGTCGCCGATGCGTCGGCATCGTCGTCGTGGAGAAAGTCGGGCTCCAGTCCGACCGCGTCTGCTCGGACAGGCTCGGACCTCGTTGGAGAGGCCTCCTCGGCAGCCTTTCCCTTAAGTCGGGCCCGTCCCTCTACAGGAGGAATATTGGAATATCCAAAAATAGCAAAAAATAGCCCAGGGACTATTTTTATGTTATTTTCTGATCATTCCCTACCTAGGCTCTGCCTAGAAGGGCTCTTACTCTCTTAGCTTAAAGGGGCCGGGCAATGGAAAGCGCCCCAGGCGGTTCCCCCGGTCCCCGCACCGCGGTTCCCCCAGTCCCCTGGGAGCTTTAGCTTTAGCTTTAGCTTTAGCTTTAGCTTTAGCTTAGCTTTAGCTTAGCTTTAGCTTAGATTTAGCTTAGCTTTAGCTCAACGTTAGCTTAGCTTTAGCTTCGCTTTAGCTTCGCTTTAGCTTAGCTTTAGCTTAGCTTTAGCTTAGCTTTAGCTTAGCTTTAGCTTAGCTTTAGCTTAGCTTTAGCTTAGCTTTAGCTTAGCTTCAGCTTAGCTTCAGCTTAGCTGTAGCTTAGCGTTAGCTTAGCTGTAGCTTAGATTTAGCTTAGCTTTAGCTTAGCTTTAGCTTAGCTTTAGCTTAGCTCTAGCTTAGCTTTAGCTTAGTTTTAGCTTTAGCTTTAGCTTTAGCTTAGATTTAGCTTAGCTTTAGCTTAGGTGTAGCTCAGCTGTAGCTCAGCTTTAGTTTAGCTTTAGCTTAGATGTAGCTTAGCTTTAGCTTCGCTTTAGCTTAGCTTTAGCTTAGCTTTAGCTTAGCTTTAGCTTAGCTGTAGCTTAGCTGTAGATTAGCTTTAGCTTAGCTTCACTGTCACTACTAATGCTGCTTTCCTAGGGGCTCCAACTCCTAGGTAGGGTCGCACTGGGATAATTTTTGAATATTTGTTGAGCATGTTTTATTTTTCGTCGAGAATCCCCCTGTAGGGGGACTCCCAGAGGTGCCCCTGTGGACTCTGCTGCGCGAGGAGGGCAACCGGCACCTGAAGGTCAGCCTGGCCCACCACGTGGACCACACCTTCATGTTCGAGCGCGCGTACTGCGACGACGTCACCATCTCGGGTGCTGCTGGAAGTGCCCCTGGACCAAGGTGCCCCCAGCTTTTCGCTCCATTTTGGAGCCCCGGGGGTCCCCTGGGCCTCGTAAGGGGTGCCCTGGAGGCCGCCTGGGCCACCCCGAACATCCTGGAGGCACCTTGGGCCAGGGGTACTCCTAGCAACGCCCGAGCATCTACGAGTGGCTCCTGAGGTGGACCACGAAGCTGGAGTGAGAGAGCCGCTCTTCCTCTGCCTTGCCGTTGACCGCTGCGGGCAACGTCTGGGGAGAAGGCTCGGGGGGGGAGGGAGGCGTCGACCCCCCATCGCCCCTGGATCGCCGATGGGCGTCTGCTAGCCCCACCCCGCCCAGGAAGACGCGGACCCACTGTTTTGGCGACTGTCGCCGAGATGTCGGCCATGCATCGCCGATTCCGGGACGAGGCTCTCCTCCCCGAGAGCCGATTCTTCCCTGGGATTGCCAACTCATCTCCGAGCTTGCCGCTGGCGTTTCACCCCTGCCGCTCGGCAGCGGTGCAGGACGAGGGAGGGGCGAGGGGACGCGAGAGGGAACGAGGGAGGCGGAGGGAGGATGGAGAGGGAAGAGGGACGCAGGTGGAGTGGTGGAGGAATCGACTCTACTCGCGAGGTTCGCGCGGGGCCCAGGAGGCCCCCAGCTGCTTTTCCGGCGGTGCGCGCGGGCAGTACCGCCAGCATCGCCTTGCCCTCTGTGTTTTGGTGGCCCCCGCCAGACACCACGCACGGAGGCACCTCCTCCCCCCTCTCCCGCCTGCGCCGAGCACTATTCAATCGCTCCTGCTCCAGGACGTTTGGCAGCAGCGACTCCCGTGCGTGTATCACCAGCGCGGGCAGCAGCACCGCCGTAATATCACCTTCTCGCTCTGCTCAAAGAGCAAACAGCAGCACAGACATCATTTCTCCGAGGTCCGCGCGGCTTTCTTCCTGGATCGGCGCTGGGTCCCCCTGGCGGAGCCTCCGGCACCGCCCCCAAGAAGAAATCCGCGCAGACCACCGAGAAATGATGTTTATGCGGTTTTTGTTCCTCTGTCCTCTTCCCACCCCACAATCGAGAAAGAAAAAACCCATAAATGTCAAACTCTGGCACTCCGCTCGGATTTCTTGGATCCGCGCTGGGCCCCCCGGGCGGCGCATCTGGCGCCGCCCCTGGCGCGCTCCGCGCGCCAGGGAGGGGGGGCCCAGCGCGGATCCAAGAAGTCCGCGCGGAGCGCCAAAAGCGTACGTTTATGGCGTTGTTTCGTTTCCTGCACAGGCACAGCTTGGGCCGAGAGCAGCCCGGGGGGGGGGGGGCGGTCCTGCCCTTCGGGGGGACGGTCTCTGCCCTCTCGAGGCCTGATCTGCTCCCTGGCCGGCCCCCCCTGAGCTATTTTGAACAGCCCACGCGGCTGCGCCTTGGGTGTCTGTGCGGTCGAAGTGGGCACGACGACGCGGATTGCGACGAAGATCACCACCCACCAAACCACCCCAACCCAACCCGAAGGCCTCAATTTATCCTCGATTTCCAGTGGGGGGGGGTCGCGGAACGTTGAGAAAACACGTGGTATCCGTACCCCCCCAACCCGAAATTCGGGTCAAATTCGGGTCTTCGGGTTGGGTTGGGGTGGTCTGGTAGGTAGTCAGAAGACGGCCGAGGCGACAACTCAGGGGAGGGCCAGTTGAGGCAACGGTAGCTGGCTTTCGAGTGTGGCCCCTGTCGCCACGGCTGGACGCCGCTCGGATAAACAGGGCGTTCAGATCCCCAGGGGGGTCCAGGGACCCTTTCTGAGCTGCTGGTGTCTCAGCTCGCCCTTCTCTTACCAGACTGGAACATATCCCTATCCCTATGCTGGGTATCTCCTCATCACGATGCCAATCTTAAGGATTCCCTTATGTTTTGAGGGCGCATCCCTAAGATTGTCATCGCCTTTTGGCGTGTCAATCTTAGGGATAGGGATAAGTTCGAGGCTGGTAATTCTCCGAACGACGGCGCCGCGGGCGCCGAGGCGCCAGCTGGCGTGTCAGGCCCTTGCTGTGTTCGCCTCGCTGGCCGGGCCTGCCGCGCGCCGGGAGGCACAGGGCCACCCGCGGCCTTGGAGCGCCCTGCGCGGGCTCGGGTCGCAGCTGCTGCTCCTCCTCCTCCTCCTCCTCCTCCTGCTCCTCCTCCTCCTCCTCCTCCTCCTCCTCCTCCTCCTCCTCCTTCTCCTCCTCCTCCTCCCCCTCCTCCTCCTCCCTCTCCTCCTCCGCCTGCTCGTCCTCGTCGTCCCTCCTCCTCCTCCTCCTCCTCCTCCTCCTCCTCCTCCTCCTCCTCCTCCTCCTCCTCCTCCTCCTCCTCCTCCTCCTCCTCCTGCTCCTCCTCCTCCTCCTCCACCTCCTCCTCCTCCTCCTCCTACTGCTCCTCAGGCCCAGGGCTGAACCTAAACGGTGTTTTTCGTTTTCTGGTGCAGGCGTTCAACCGAGCAGAAATTACGTAAACCTTTGTAATGTCTCGTAGTTCCGCTCGAATCTCTTGGATCGGCGCTGGGGCCATCCTGGCGGCGTCTCGAGCGCCGCCGCTGGCGCGCTGCGCGCGCCGGGAAGGGTGGCTTTGAGCGCCGATCCACGAAATCCGCACGGACCGTCACGACATGATGCGTATTCTGTTGCTCTGCTCATCAGCCACGCGCAGAGGGGGGTGGGGGGAGGGGGAGGGCTTCCTAGAAGCACCCCTGCTTCTTAGAAGGCGCGGGCCTTATCGATAGATTAAGGCACGCGTCTTCTAAGACGCCCTCCCTCCACCCCAGGGACTCCACCACCTTGTGCGCGCCGCCAAGCTCAAGCCAGCATGAGGGGAAATAGAGGTTGACCTAATCGGTGCGTTGGCGATCTGCTGGGCCGTGTTCGTTGCGATCTCTTGCAGCCCAGCCAGAGCGAAGATTGAGCACGAGGACAGGAATGGCGCGAGCCAGAGCGAAGACAGAGCGAGGGTAAATGGAAAACTTTGTTTGGATCGAGCCGTGTCTTGAGGGAAACGGCGGGTCTTGACGCGTTTCGTTGCTTTCGCTTTCTGGGGGCCCTCCCGGAGCCCAGGCACCTCGAGACAACGAGTCGGGATGAAAAGCTGGCCCCAGAGGACGTCCCGGCCTGCAAGGCCCGTTGCAGCAAGACCCGCGACCGCAGTCGGGGCTCTCTCTCTGCTGGCACGGGTTCGACTACACGTGATAGTGACCTGTCAGGAGGGGAAGGAGCACACAGACACAAGTAATCGTCGATCCCCCCGAAAATCAGGGAAAATATGGGAACTGGGGGGGAAGACGCGAGCCCAGAAGATATGGGAGAATATGGGGGATCCTGGGATGTGTGTGTATTTGTTTGTGTGTCCCTGGGCCCCTTCCGACCTTTCCCCGGAGTGACCTTTGGTGCCGGCGCCATGGGGCCCCCCGAGCGCCGAAGGCGGTGCGGCAGGAGCGTCGGGAGGGCCGGTCTTCGGTCCCCCCCCCCGCGAGGGCCCCGAAGCCGCGCGCCGAAGGCCACGTTTGCCCGGGGGGCCACGCCCTGGGTGTAGCCGATGGAGGTGCTGTAGGAGGAGGGGGGGAGCCTCAAGCCTCAAGCCTGAACAAATCCTGACGGGAGGTGTTTCCACGTTTTCAGCTTCTGGGGGCCCTCCCCGGGCCTCGGGACCCTGAAGAAACGACTCAGGACGAGAAACCGGCCCCAGGGAATGGGTCGTGACCTCGGGGGGTGGACGCCATGAAAACATCCTAACGTCGGGGGTTTGGGATGTTGTGCAACATGCTTTGGAACCTTTTTCGGACTTTTGACTGGCAGCACCACAACATACTGATACGAGGTGTGCGTCGCCCCCCCAGGGGCGACGCGCGCACCGAGAAATCTTACAGTATATGTGTCGTGGCGGGCGCTGTCTGGCCGTACCGCTCGGGAAGCGATATACTACAGGATGGGTATGGTAGATGTCCGGGTCGGACGCACGCCTCCCAGGAGGACATCTGGTATTAGCATTAAGTCGGGCCTGTCCCCCTACAGGGGGATTTTCGACGAAAAAAATACCCCCAAAATAGTCCCAAAATATTCGGAGACTATTTTTTCAATCTTTTTTGACCTTTTTGGGGCATTGTTGGAGTGTTTTATAGTTTCCCGTCGAACATCCTCCTGTGGATGGGACACGCCCGACGTCATATCAGCATGTCTCCGTGCGCCTCCTCTGGGGCTCTGCGGAAACCGCTGGGGATCTCGTGGCACCCCCAGATGGTCTGGTACCGGAAATTTTCGGTAGCGATTTCGACGCACCCCGAATTTCGGTAGCGACCGGATCTTCGTTTGAGGGCGTTGAAATAGCGGATTTCAGAACGCTCTGATACCGGTATTGGGCGCTACATTTCGGTATTTCGGTAGCGACCGATCTCTGCGGAGCGCTACCGGAAATTTTCGGTAGCGGACCATCAGGGAGGGCCTGCGGCGGCGCGCACGTTGGTGGCGCGGCCGGCCCACGTGCAGCCTGTCCCGTCGGGGCACGGCCAGGCCAGCTCGCAGGCAGAGGCAACATCAGCAGACGCGTCGCACCCTCCTCCTCCTCCTCCTCCTCCTCCTCCTCCTCCTCCTCCTCCTCCTCCTCCTCCTCCTCCTCCTCCTCCTCCCCTCCTCCTCCTCCTCCTCCTCCCCTCCTCCCTCCTCCCCCTCCTCCTCCTCCCCCCTCCTCCTCCTCCTCGCACCCTCTCCTCCCTCCCCCCCCTCCACCTCCACCTCCACTCCCATCTCCTCCTCCTCCTCCTCTTCCTCCTCCTCCTCCTCCTCCTCCTCCTCATCCTCCGCCCAGCTCTTTGCCTTTCCGACGCGCGTGTCAGCGCGCCTTTCGACGGCGCGCTCGACAGGCCGGAGCAGGCAACCAGAGTGCACGGTCCGCCTGGCCCGGTTTGATGCGGTTGCTGCGTCGACGGCGGTTCAAGTATAAAAAGATGCGTTTGAGCAATTATCGGTCGGAGCACTTTTCTCGAGAGACATTGTGTGGTTGGGAGGCGGTGGCGGCGGCCTGCGCGGCAAAAGTAGCACCAGTAGTTGTTGTAAGCCGCTGGAGGCGAAAAGTTCGTGTGCCCCAGCGCCTTCCTTTGCGTTCGGGGCATAAGAACTAACATGGCTTCTGACGCAGATTCTCCCCTACCCCTCTCCCACTCGTCCTCGGATTTCGCCTCTTGGCGTTGATGCGGGTGATGGTTTCGCCGTTGCTGGTGCTCCTTGGGGGGTGGGGACTGGGCTGCTTGGGTGTGGGGACTAGGCTGGCCCCAAGACGGCCCAAGAGTCCCAAACCGGCCCTCAAGAGTGCCCCCGAGAGGACCTCAGGATTTTCCTAAGGTTTATCGCGGTTTTCGGATTTTCGCATTTTCGGGCCCATCAGGGACCAAAACAGCTCAAGAGGCCCCACAGATCGTCCCAAGACGGCCCCAGAGGCCCCCCAAGAGGACCGAACACGGTTTGAGAGGGCCCCCAGTGCCCCCAGACGGCCCAAAAGGGCTCCCAAAACGTCCAAAGAGTGCCCCAAGACGGCCCCAAGAGAGCCCCAGAATGGCCCCAAGAGGCTCAGGGTACAGAGAGGCGTGGTGGGGACTGGGCTGCCTGGGCGCGGGGACGGGGCTGGCCCCGAGGCGGCCCGAGAGTGCCAAAACGGCATCCGAGAGGGCCTCCTCCTCCTCCTCCTCCTCCCTCCTCCCTCCTCCCTCCTCCTCCTCCTCCTCCTCCTCCTCCTCCTCCTCCCCCTCCTCCTCCTCCTATTTGTTTGCCTTGGCCTCTTCAGCGTCTTTCGGGTTCTCGCCTTTTCGGGTCCAGAAGGGCCCAAGAGGCCCCACAAGATCGTCCTCAGACGGCCCCAGAGGCCCCCCCCAAAGGGGGCCGAGAGCGGACCAGGAGGGCCCCCAGACGGCCCAAGAGGGCCCCAAAGCAGCCCAAGCGGAGTAGGGGGTCGACAATACAGTCGGACCTAGGTTGAAGATCGAGGTCGGTTCGCGGAGAGTACCCTAATGTTCCTCGTGTTTGTTGGATGTTCTTGTGCATCCTGGGGAGGGTACCCTTGCA